ATTTTTTCATGCATTTTGGCCACTCAAAAATGTGAACCATGATTTGTTTAAAATTCAGCGAACACTGTGAGGAAATAAACAGAAAAAGAGGAAAAAGCCAATTTTCTAGGCCCCCTAATTTAATTGTGGACACAAATAAAACATTAAGCGATTTTAAAAAAAAAGTAAAAAAACCTGGGAATATCCCCTCAAATTTATTATAAAAAAAGAGACTGGTGACATTTTAAGACGGGAAGCATTTGTTTGGGTTTGCAACTTGAAAAATGGTTGATTTTTTTTCTCTATTTTTAGTTCAAAAATTTGGTTTTAACAAAATTTTAAAATGCAGCGCAAATTTCAGCGTTTGAGCAGAAAAAACAAACAAATCCCCTTTAAAAGTAGAAAAAAAAAAAAAAAAACCTTTCTGAAAAAATCAAACAAGGCAGGAGGGATTTTGAAAATAAAATCATACAACAAAATATAACCCCTTTAATTAAATTTAAATTTAATACAGGAAAAGGCATTTTTACAATTTTCCCCTGATAGTGTAAAAAATTTGTTTTATTTTCTCTGTTTTTTTATGAACTTTTTTATATTTGAATTCAAAACATGTGTGATCACTTGGGTTTTTTTTTAAAAATTTCTTACGGTATATTTATAAAAAAAAAATGTTTAAAAACTTCAATTAACATTTTTAAAAAAAATTTAAAAAAATTCAAAAAAAAACCAAAACCCGGGAAAAAAATTTTAAAAACTAAGTTTAAAAATAGCACCCTTTTTCCCCCCTTTTTTAAATCATTTTAAATTTTTACTTTGATTCATTTATATATAATATTCAAAGGAAACCCTTAAAAAATGTAAGGTTAAAAAAAAATAAAAATTTTAGTGGCTCAATTTTAACGAGCATATTTTTGGGGAAAAAATAAATCCCGATTCCCCCTTTAACAATTTCAAGCCATTGGGAAATGAAAAAATTTTATAAAAAACATTAACTATTTTTTTCTTCATTAGTCGTCCATGCACGATCATGTTTACAAAAACACATATCAATATTTTAAATAATACATTGTTATAGCAAAGTTTTACAAAAAAAAATACATTATCTAAAATCATCAAAGTCTGGTTGAAAATGTAAAAAAAAAAACTGAAAAAACGGAAAAAACAAGAATATATCTGGATTTAGAAAAAAAACACATCCCAAAAGAAATATTGCATAGAAAATGTAAAAAATTTATAATAAAAAAAATGTTTTATATTAAAAACTTAAAAACTAAAACTATTTCTATTAAATTTGTAATTCCTCCTAAAAAAACTAAAAAGACCCCCCCCACCTGCCCAAAAAGCAAAAATGGAATTTCATTTAAATAAAACCCACTCAAATATAATGTATGACAGAATCAAAGAACATTTTTGGGAAACTAGTAGATCGATTTGGCATGAACACATTTTTTGTAACCATTCAAGTTAGCTTTTATCCATTGTAAACAGTAACTCAACATGTTTAAATTAACAAAATATAATCATACTAGACCCTAATGTATTGCTATAAATAATTTCAAACAAATTTTAAGAGTACATAATATGTATCAGATCACTATATGTGTGCACCAAGATTGAGATAATTATCTAAGTGTCATTCAATGGGACCTAACATGACAACCGAAGTAGTTCAATAAGAAAATTTCAAAAACATTTTAAAAAAAATTTGAAAAGTCAAGTGAATTTATACAAAAATAACAAAAACTGCCTGTTTTACTTGAAAAACGAACAAAAAGTTTAAACTTATAATACAGGTTTAAAGGGTGTTTTAGGAAATGAACCACATGAAATATATTCAACCCTTTGATGAAATGTAAGACATTTCTTTAAAAAATGCCTTGAAAAGAAACTAATAACCCCTTATCTACTGTTAGCTCTTTTTTCTGCAACCTTTGAAAAAAAAATTTTTCCAAACTCATGAAATTTGAAATTAAGAAGCAATAGCAAAAAGGTGCATATTATATGAAAACAAAAGCAAAACCACTGGTTATAATTAACAGGCTAGTGAACAACCATTTAGTGATTTAAGTAAGATATCAATTAAAAGAAAACAAACAGTAAGTGTTACACCCATTAAAAAGAAAAGCATACCTCCAAAACTAATATTTATAAATTCTGAAGATAAAAAACAACAAACCAATTCAACACATCTGCCTAACTAATTTAATTAATGGCTGTGGTGGGTTTCAAATCCCATTAAGGGCAAGCCTTGTTTCTTGAGGAAAGAAAACTTTACACTCATTGCTTATTACTGTTGGTTCCAGGAACCAGATTTTAGAGTGCTTAAAAGCATTACAGCTTCAAACACAATCAAAACTAAAATAAATTAGTATAAACTTAGTCAATGTTTACTAAAGCATATTTCTAAACTAAACTCTTAATTAATTCTGTATACAATATATGGTTCTTTAAAAAAGTACTAGTTTTTGTAATTTTAATGTCTAGTGTTCAAAAAATAAATAAATAAAAGTTTCATATAAAAGAATTAAGAATCATTATTGAGTACTTATGGCAAACCATTAGGAAGTTTTAATTAGGAAACTGTCACAATTTCCTTGATCTCAGCTCTATTATTTGGGTAACAGCACTACTTCTTTCACATGACCTAACCCGTAACCTGCTGGAATCTATAAGTGATAAGCCTTTGAGCCACCAGTATAGAGGGCCAGCAGCCTGCATTTACCTTAACATTTTTTATAGAAACTCGTTAGTCAAGAATGTAACCTCAAAAGTATGAATCTCATCTACAATAACTATTACCAAAAGATTTAAGTAATCAAAATAAGAAGAAAATGGGAATTACAACACGTCAACACAACCCGAGCTGGTTAGTTTTTATTTATTTCTCTACCGCGTATCGGTTTCTATCGAATCTTCATCAGGATTTAACTAAAAATTTCACATCAAGGACCTTAATCACTGAATGCACATCTTTTTTTATACTTCAAATTTTAATAATTTTTATTCTTCAAAATTTAATATTACCAATCTGGAGGTATGATACATTCCTTAAAATCACAAAAATATAAACAATCCATCTAACAGTAAACCTGAGAAAAATAAGGGGAAAAAAACAATGCATACATTATACTCGCAATGACAGAAAACAAACTCATTACTGTGAACAAAGTCCATAAAAAAGACACTAACAACTTTAATATATATATCTAAAAAGTAAAACTAGAAATTTACATATACCTAAAAACAACTAACAGAAAACAAAGTATATATGCATATCTCATTATAAATGATAGCACATAGAATATGACTGGAGAAATATTTAGGAATTGTTTCATAGCTATAACCATAGGGGGACAAACACTTAGTGGATTTCTGACCTGCTTCATTCCACACAATATACCCACTCTGAACACATGAAAAAAAACATGCTTTTAAGTTAATTATCAACTATACTAAATAACTATTTAATCTTATTATAACAAAATTGTATATTGTCTGCTTTCTAACCTAGCAAGTGACCTTGTGACCTTGACTTGAGAAAAAATTTACATGTAGTTAAAGTTCTTTAAAGGATGAGATTAAATTTCACATTAAGTTATTCAAATATATTCCAATCATATGCCTTTTTGACCCTTACTCAAGTTTGACCTTGACCTTTGGACAATGACCTTGCAGAAAACCATATTACTATAATATATATTATGTATATAGGAGCTTACATTTGCCAGTTTACAGATGGACGGACTGTTGAATGCACAAAAAACTGTTGTTAGAACATACACTAAAAAAGAAAATCTAATAATTAGACTGATAATTATCCGTCTCCACTATCCAAAAAACTAAAATGGTAAATAGCTACAACTTTAAAGTCTATCAATATATATATACAAGAGGGCCATGATGGCCCTGAGGTCGCTCACCTGCGTATATAGGCCCCCCCAACCCCCCCCCCCCCCCAAACGTTGCAGGGCCAATTTAACCAAAGGGCTTTTATTTGCACAAACTTGGTAGACACCCATAAGAAGATGTTTCATGCTAAAACATCTAAGCTCTAGCTCATTGGGCTATTTAAAAAAGAAGATTTTTTTAAAGTTTTTACTATACACATATAGTTAAAAACAATGACACCCCTGGGGCCGGCTAGTTATGACCCCAGGGTTTTATTTGAACAAACTTTGTAGACACTTACTAGAATATGTTTCATGCTTAATACTCTAAACTCTAGCTATTTGGGTTTTTTTCAAAGAAGATTTTAAGTTTTTGCTATACCACATATCAGGAAAATCAATGACCCCGGGGCAGGGCCAATTTTGACCCCATGTCTTTTATTTGAACAAACTTTGTAGAACACTCACTAAAAGATGTTTCATGCTTAATATCTTAACTCTAGCTATTTGGTTTTTTTTTTTTCAAAAAAGATTTTTTAAGTTTTGCTATACACATATAAGGAAAATCAATGAACCCCGGGGCGGGCCAATTTTGACCCCAGGGCTTTTATTTGAACAAACTTGGTAGACACCTATTAGAACATGTTTGATGCTAAATATCTTAACCATAGCTCTTTGAGTTCTTTAAAAGAAGATTTTTTAAGTTTTTACTATATGCACATAGGAAAATCAATGACCCACGGGGCGGGGTCAATTTTGATCCAGGGCTTTTATTTGAACAAACTTGGTAGACACTTATTAGAACATGTTTTCATGCTAAATATCTTAGCTCTAACTCTTTTGGTTCTTTAAAGAAGATTTTTTAAGTTTTTACTATATGCATATAGGGAAAATCAATGACCCCCTGGGGCGGGGCCAATTTTGACCCCAGGGCTTTTCTTTGAACAAACTTGGTAGACACCTATTAGACATGTTTGATGCTCAATATCTTAGCCATAGCTCTTTGAGTTCTTTAAAAGAAGATTTTTTAAGTTTTTACTATATGCATATAGGGAAAATCAATGACCCCGCGGGGCGGGGCCAATTTTGACCCAAGGCTTTTATTTGAACAAACTTGGTAGACACTCACTAGAAGATGTTTTATACCAAATATTTAAGCTCTAGCTCTTATGGTTTTTTAAAAGAAGATATTTAAAGTTTTTTCTTTCGGTTGCCATGGCAACCAGAGTTCTGCATGGAATTAAATTCTTTGAACAATTTTTAAAGGTGACCACCAAAGGAACATTCCTGTGAAGTTTGGATGAAATTGGCCTTGTGGTTTATGAGGAGATGTCATTTAAAGTAAAAGTTTACGGACGACGGACGACGGACGGACGCCGGACGAAAAGCGATCACAAAAGCTCACCCTGTCACTTTGTGACAGGTGAGCTAAAAAGGGCTACAATAATAAAAAAGTATTTGATTTGGTATAAGTATATAACAGGACTTTAAACTTTAAGAAAAGTTTCTTTAAAAAAAAATACCAATAGCAAAAATATGAGTTTTAATTTACATTATTAAAACAAACTATGTTAAGTAGATTTCTTCAAAAAGCATCCTCTAATTAGAGCTATTTAAACATGTAACAAATTGGATAATAACAAAATTTTACCATAAATACCTTATAACAATGGAATGAAGCAGTTTTGACTAACATTTTCAATATCATTTACAATAAAAACAAACTGAAACTTTAAAAACCTAAAATTGCTAAAAATCTACTAATTTTCAGCTGATCCATTTCTTGTATTTGTGCGTTTCTGTACACCATTGTTATTAATATTAGAGGTGCGGACGATATATGGCTCTGTTTCACTGATGGTGTCCTCCTTTACCCTCGTTTTTGGTTTTAAGGCCACATCATTTTTCACATCCCTCTTAATATAAAACTTCCATACTGTATACCCAACAAGACCTGAAAAGAAAAGAAAATCTTAAATGTCAAAAGAAAATTATAAAAATAAAATATTTCAAAAAGTTAATATATGTGTGAATAATCATCATTAGCTAAAAACCCTCACTCTTACCGACACTTGAACCCTTAACCTGCTGGAACAAGGAGCAATTTGCCTCTGTCACCAGTAAAGAGCAGGCCAGCTTGCACTTCCATGCATTAGGTTCTGTACTGTTGGCAGCTCAATTCTTGTGTATATTTTCGAAATCCCCTAAACTTTGAATTGACAGTTCCAAATTCATATTTAGGCATATTCATTTCAGAAATTCCGCAGTTAGGCATATTCATTTCAGAAGTTCCGCAGTTACATGTAGGCATATTCATTTCAGAAGCTCTGCAGTTAGGCTTATTCATTTCACAAGTTCCGCAGTTAGGCTTATTCATTTCACAAGTTCCGCAGTTAGGCTTATTCATTTCAGAAGTTCTGCAGTTAGGCTTATTCATTTCACAAGTTCCGCAGTTAGGGTTATTCATTTCACAAGTTCCGCAGTTAGGCATATTCATTTCAGAAGTTCCGCAGTTATGTGTTTAAACAGACTATTTATGCTTTACTCTTGTACCTGTCTGATGCCAAGTTAATGTATTTTCTTTCCATTATCTGCAACTTTTAAAACAGCCAACCTATATTTAGACATAAGGGTCAGGAAATATATACTTTAGTTGCATTATCATGGCCGGCAAAATCTGATTTTGACTTACTTGTCAATTTCAGCTCTTGCCAAAATAATACATTTCCTTTTATAAACAAAATGAAAGTAATAGTCAATCTATATAAAGTCAAAAAGGCCTGGAAATATACACTATATTTGCATACATATTCTGCAGTAAGCCATTACTGCCTAATATTCTGAAATAAGTAATTAACTAGTTAAAACAAACCTGACTGTAAACAAATACCATTAGTAAAGGAATTAATTTTGGAAATGTTTTTACTTACCAAGAAATCCTAAAATCCAGAAATAAGCAATTGTTTTCGGAAGTGGTTTAGTGATGGTTTCATAATCAAACTTAACAGTAACCAGTAATTCTGTGATGACAATTGCTATCATCATCCAGGACTGTCTACCAAACTTGTTCGGCTCTCTGAATTATAGTATGTATAGTCTGATACATTGTGACATCTTAATTTCAGATACAATATATTCAATTCTCATTTGTTTTTATAGTTTTTACGCGGATTTAAACACATTTGAGCCGCGTCACGACAAAACCAACATAATGGGTTTGCGACCAGCATGGATCCAGACCAGCCTGCGCATCCGCGCAGTCTGATCAGGATCCATGCTGTTCGCTATCAGTTTCTCTACTTGTAATAGAGTTGGTAAGTGAACAGCATGGATCCTGGTCTGGATCCATGCTGGTCGCAAACGCACAATGTTGGTTTTGCCGTGACGCGGCTCATTTTTTAGTCATATCTCTGCAGCTTATCCTTCTAGCCAGCTTTCCTGGAAAACTGTAACAAAGTAACACCTGACTAGTACATGTAATTCCATTTAATTCCAAATCACGTTTAGTCTACAACATGCTGAATTTTAGCAAATTTTAACTATTACATCAGAAATATAATAGAACCGAAAGTAAAAATTCATGAATATTAAACTTTGCAAATTAATCCAAAATATTGTTTTTTGCAAAATGAAAATAGCCATTTAAACATTTCTAATTTTTCTTAATTCATTGACTCTGACATTAAGTCGAAGTGATATAAGAATTGTGAATCTTTAAGACTTTAAGGCTAATTGACAAAGAGATTTCAAGGATGACAGCACTGATAGGAGTATATACTTACGGATCATCTAAATATTGGAAAGTTTCTCGTAGAGCAGCAGCACCCATGAATAAAATGAAGACAAGACGACCTAGATTAAGATAATGTTCGGGAGGTATCCACAATACAAACTTCAGGTAAAATGTGTTTAATTCAGCTAGTAGAAACTGAAATAAATAAATGACAATTTGAATCCGCACTGTTACTATGCTGATGATATAGAAACCAAATATGTATTTTCTGACTTTTGTCCAAGAACGAAAGCTTTCTTTTCTGTTTGGATTTGAAAAAAGTACAAAAATAACTTATCTTTTTGGAAAACATCCTTTAAAACAATTTTAGTAAAAAAAATCTGATAATTTAGAAATATTGCACAACTGAATGTAAAAGAACACATGAATTTATAAAAGTTATATCATTCTATCCATATTTAATCCTAACACTTACTCTTAAAGTGTCAGTGCATAGTATATAGGTTTTAAAATACAATACTATGCATCCAATAAAATTCTACATCTAATTCTTTATTCTATTCCATAATCTCAGGGCTCATCTGGAAGGGCGATTCAGTTTGGTTTTGGCGATTCAGTATATTTCCATTTCGCTCTCCCAATTGATCAAAGAGAAGTCAACATCGCCGATAAAATCTTAATTCCCAAAGACTAATTACTTGGCGATGTAAAGAGCAGAGATTGTATCCGCCCATATGACGACTGCTAAATATCATTATCCAATCAGAGCGTCGCTTTATACTACCCTTCTACCTGTATGACCGCCTACTCTAAACAGTAAATAATGAGAGCATCGGCCCGAAACGGGTATAATTGTGTGACAGTTTTGCGAGTTTAATACGGGATTAGGCGATAATTATAGATTATTTTTTCCCCGATCATCTAAACACGTGCATATCTTCCCTAATTGATATACATGCGGTGTTTAACCCGAGTAATGGCGATGTGCAATGGGTTTTTCACGGCTATCACAACACTGTTAGTCAATTAAAAATAATCAATTTCATTTATGATCAGCGACCGGATTAAAAACTTAATCATAGTTTTGAATGATTTCAGTCCGTTAACATGAATTAAAAATTGTTATGTCGCTCACATCATGGCTACAGGGTGAAATGCCCAAACCTAGCAGTAAAAGAAAGTTGCTGATTCTGATACACCTACGCGAAAATTTAAGAAAGCCAATTCGCAAAAATCTGACAATTGATATATTGTAGACAGTGAGAGTGTTTGACATTGTTATCTTTGTAGAAATGCCAAATTTGACACAGCTTACGCACATGGGCACGACATCCAGGAAAAACTACCAATCATGATCGGCATGCTACATATCGGTCGTATATCATGTGTACATGTATATAACAACAAAATTTGTCAGGAAGGAAGTGTTCTTATAGTTTTAATGTATATATTTGTTTTAATGTCATAAATATGACCCTCAGATTAAGATTTATCAATATTGTAAATTTCAAAAAGCATTATTCCAGTTAAACATTTCATGAAAATAAAGGGAGGTAATTAGAAATTTATTTTCTATAATTTCTCAGTCAAATTTTTCAATAAGAAATGAATGTATATAATTTTAGTGATCAAATATAATGTGCACAAATGTTTGCAGTACATATTTTACATATTCTTCGATGTTTGAAAATTGTTTTATAAGCATAATTATATGCACATAAATGTGACATTACAACATACAAGATCATAACTTCTCACTTCCCCTCGGAGCGTGCACGTCGCTGAGAAGGCACAGGGCATCGGCAGAAGATTTACAACTTGGCTGGTAGACAACTTAAATTTTGCCTTCAACCGTGGGCGGTAACTACGGAACTCCTACTTCGTCACTTCTGCGTATGCACACAGTAATATTCTGATCAAGCCAGTTTATCCTATCAAATTCTAGCTACATGTACAAATGTATACTGAATGAAGTGCATCTGCATTTTGTCTTACTCATATTCATTTTTATAGGACTATTTACAGAAAGAATACACACCAATGTGTGAACCAATACTTACAATTACAAAAATTCCTAAGGTTGCAAACCATCTAATAAGGCTAGACGTTGGTTTCCAGTTGAAGTCTGTCCAACTGTATGGTGTAAACTGCAAGGCAACACGTTTCATCTTACCGCTGCAATAAAGTACAACAAAATTTAAACCCTTAACCTGCTACAACCGGAAGTGATTAGCACTTGCCACTAGTATAGACCCAGCCCAGTCTTCACATCTCTTTGGAACTTACAATATTGATAAATCTTCATTTGAGTATCATACGAGGGTTGTCCCAATATTCTGTGACAAGATTGTTTAAAAGCTAAATAAAACAGGTACGAATTTGATATTTTAATATGTTATAAACCCATATAATTAAAACATTTTCACAAATTTTCATAGATAAATATCAACAAACAACAAAAATATGCCATAAACACCATGGCAACTAACTGAATCGCGGCGCACGTCCAACGTCAAAGACGGCGATAAATCTATAAAAGGCGCCTTTCTCAAATACTCTCAATGGCTTTCAACGCAATAATGGTACCCATAAATCGTCAATTTCTGACTTAAATCATGTGGTTGTTAATGTTTGTTGAATGTTTGGATGGCATACATTAATTTTTGCTATACGTGAACTTCCGATCTCATTACTCCTGTTTTTAGCTGTAGGAAATAGGCGACGAAGATCGGTCTTCCTATCCGTGTTTTCCTTATTTTCGCTTTTTGTAGCGCAAAACTATGGTTCCCTTCATGCCTTTTGTACACAAATGCTCAGAATATGTTGCTAAACTGTTATATTTGGTATATTTGTTGAAAATCGTTACATGTGTCATCTCAAAATAGTCATGAAACCTGAGTGACATGTTCACTGCGCCGCAAATTCTTCGAACGTCGCCATTTTAACTTTCCTATTTTATATGAGATATTTTCATTTATTCGTATCTCTTTCCTTTTTTAAGTTATTTAACTAAAATTTTCAGAGATGATTTAAACATAGCAGCAGAGGAAGTCAACGTGACATTGTGCAGACACATCATCAGATATTTGAAATGTACGTAATTAATTTCAGCCTATTCATAACAAAATGTAAATTATTTGACGTGCGCCGGCAACTCAAACCAATGTCATTAATACTGAAAATTTCTAAGTAACTAGGGTAAATTTTTTGTAAATGATTTGATGTAATGTTAAATAATAAACTTAACGGTTATATGTGTGAATTATTTTCTATTGGCGTTAAAAATGAACCGGCTATACAATTGTTCACGGACTTTAATGGGACAACCCTCGTATTTATGATATAAAACCATAAGAAAAATGAGTTACAGGATCTTAAAGTATATGCTACCATCATTGAAAGGTCACCACCCTGCACATCAAGTAAACATATTTACCTGGCTACCTTTAAATTATGAATGATACTTAAAATAACTTTTTTTCAATTTCAATAAAACAAAATTTAATTGATCAATTAATTAATTAGCTTACAAATAATCACGAACATGACACTATATGAAAGTCATTCAATAAAATTAATAACAAACCTGTAAGTTGGAATGTTCCACATTCCCCTCCAATGATAAGGTTTCATAGATAAATACTTGAGTGTTTTCATACCAAGGTAAATTCCTAGACCATTGCATACAATTGCATCCATTATCCACTGTTACAATAAAAAAAAGTTAAATTCTTAAACACTTTTCTGTGGGTTAGTAATATAGTTCAACTCAAATTTGTAAGCATATAATACACTTCCTATATTGCTCCAAACATAAATTACCAATCCAATCGCCAACATGCAGTTATTCTGAATTTATCACATGGGTATGTGATAATATACTTTGATCCAAAAAAATAAATATTTTTGAAAAACAGAACCAGATGGTTTCTAACCTGCTCAACTTGTCTTCAATTTTCTATTATATTCCATTGATGGAAAACTAAGAAGAAACAAAAAGAATTTCTTGCATTTTCAATATTTTGTGAAAAAGACAATGTCTAAAAATCCTAGCTCTATAACTAGGAAGAATAATTCAATAACAGACTTGCCCTGCCTTGAAATTTTAAAGAAATTGTTTATTGTTAGTTTTGTATATTTTTTATAACTAGAATTTATCTGCCAATAGTAAAATGTCAAAGTTCAATACTTAAAATACAGGCTTTGCAATATTGTTGCTAAAGCTCTGATGATTTACTTACATGATCCCACCAACATTCACTAAAGTTAGGCAATTGGTGTTCTAATGTATACTCCATCACCTCAAACATCAGACTTATCACCATACAAAACCACCAATCTCTGATAATTAAAGTCTGTAATACATATCATAAAATACATGTCAAATCAAATATATTAGCTGAATAAATTTTTTTTTTTATAATTTGTTTCGGTTACCATTTAATTCAGTGACTCTATGCCAGCAATCTTTGGCATGATATTTATTTAGAGATGAAAATATTTGGTCTTTTCTATTAAAAAAAACAAAAACTGGCCATTTTTTTAATGACACTATATTTACTCAAAGTGTGTAGAGTTTACAACATGAAATAACCTTCTCTGTGTGTACTTAAAAGTTGTTTATTGTACATTAAAAGCAAAACTGTTTAGGTATTTTTAGTATTTTCGAGTATCAAATTTAGCACACAATATATCTTTATGATGAAATAAAAATACAGAGTCTCAAATAATATCATAAATGCCAAGAAAGAATACACATGTACATGTACCATGAATCTTCATAAGCCATATGAAAGGCTTTCATATAAGAGAGATTTGAGGTAATCCACCTGATCCACATTGGCACAAAAACTGTCAAATGATCCGGTAGAAATAATTTAGTAAAAAACATGACAAAAAATGTTATTATTTTTACCTTTAACCACCAACCAAAGAAATGTGTGGGAACAAAGCCATCCATTTTATCCTGAAAATGGACAAAAATTTCATTTTCAAAGAATAATCAAACACATTTAAGCATAATGTTTTAATAGGAGGTCATTGAATTTTGAATTTTTTTGCTCAATTTTAAGTCAAATTGCTATGGTTACCATTTTGATCATACAGCAATGTACCAGCTTAACTGTCCCAAGAGAAAATGCAAAACAACACTCAAAGTATCTGTCAGACCAGAATCGGGCACACACCCTATGATAGAGGGCATACAGAATCAGGCACACACCCTATGATAGAGGGCCTACATGTATGTATCTTTGTTTAAAAAAAAAATGCTCATGAATATCTAGCAGATATACAACACAATCATGAGGAAAGGAATATTATAATCCTAATTTACTTTGAAAACGGTGAAATATGATAATTGTTTTGAGGTCATAAATGAATACTTTCTCAAAATATAGTTAAGTTTAACATATTTTTAGCATTTATAAAACGATATCCAAATTTCTAGGGAAGATAATTCTTATAATTTATAGTGCTCTCACTCATGTGGTTTTATTTTATTGAGTATACATGTTTGTTACAAAAAACCTCAATCCTTACCTTAAAATTAATCCATGGATCTTCATTAGATGGATCATAAATAAGACAATTACCACCGTAACTTTTCTCGGGAAGTGGTTTTCCAAGGTTTTTATCTATGTGACGCATCATTAAACGGGCATCATTTGCAGTCTGTTAAAACATTATAAATATAAAATAATATTCAGATTGACAATTATCATTTTTGTAAGAATGTTTCAGTTTTCAAGCAACTACAATCAAATCCCAGATTATGCCTCAATTCAAATATGGTCATTTCCTCACCCTGGAAAATTTCAATTATGTAATTTTGATGGAGAAGACAATACCCCTTTTTATAGTTTTACACCTTAAATTGACATAAATTTTCATTTTATATTTACATTTATTTAATTTGCATGAAAAATAGGTAAATTGAAAACTAAAAGTAAATAAGTTGCTTTAATTGAAGTAATTTTCATCATTACAGATAATAAAATATGCCCCCATTGAAACATGAAGTTCTGCTTTCTTGTGATATTAATTCATAAAACAATCCAAAAAGTACTATTACATTCAGAATCTTGATAACATTTATACATTGTTAAAACAAATTATCATCAATAAATAATCAAGCAGTAATGTATCTAACTCAACAAGATAATACATTGTAAATGTTCAAAAATAAATCATTGTCATTATCGGACTGGTTCTTTACCCATCAATTATTCAACATAACTTGCATGTTTTATGAATGCAAATCAATAATTTAAAGCCCATGTTCTAAAGAGATAAACTAAAGTTGCAGTAGGAGAGCCTCCTCAACTATTCTCAATGCTAAATAGTTAAATATCTCAATTCTTAAAGTTTAAATATCCTAATTCTTAAGATTTAAATATCTAATTGCTTCATAGTTAAACATCTCAATGCTTCATACTTCAACAAAAGCTTGGATAATACAGGAAAACAAAGAGGAATATTTCATTTAAAATACATGACATAACTGTGAGCCTGAGGATAATGACCCAGGAATTTTAAAAGATCACAGAGGCCCCTTATTTAGTCAAAGTCCATGCTAGATTTACGTGCCTTGGACAGTGACCTCACATTACTATCTCAAAGACATGTCTGACATTACAAGCAAATATCTTTAGTTGGTGTTTGATGAGGTATGAAATTATACAAAAAAGTTCCACCTTAAACTTTAACCATAGTGTAACACCATTACCAATATTTTCATATTCATGTCTATAAATATACAAGCAATGCTGTAAAATACACAAGTGGGAAACATGTCGGTCCAAATATAAATTTGACAAGAAAAATCAGTCAAAATAAATGAGAGGACAATTGTTTGGGAGTGGGATTGTCTAGATATTGTAACTTAGGAAACGTGGTAAACTGATATTCATACACAAACATGTACATGAAAAATGTTTGGTACCAGTACATGAAAAATGTTTGGTACCAGTACATGAAAAATGTTTGGTACCAGTACATGAAAAATGTTTGGTACCAGTACATGAAAAATGTTTGGTACCAGTACATGAAAAATGTTTGAAACTGGTACATGCATCTAAGATTTCCCAACAGACCAGCTAGAATATGATACATCATTGGAACTAGAAGAAGAATCCAGTAACAATATTGAGGAAAGAGATGTAACAAGAAGAAAATCAAAATCTGCCATTACCAAACCTTTACTCTATAATAAGGTCAGTATTTCAGAACTCTCTTAATATTTATCACAAGTAAACAAGAATATAATCATCTTACAGACAACAATACTTTATCAGTATTTATAATCCCTTATACCATGTAAAGTTATCTAATACATGAAATAAAGTTTATTCAAAGAATCAATCAAACAAAATATTTAAACATGATTGTGTCTTATACCTACCTGACTAGATCTTATCCAACACCTTTACGAATATATTATATCATCAAAAGAATAGCTGTCATGAAGGTTTTCCATCCATAGTCACATACTCATAAATTACATAGGGTTGGATTTTACATCAAACAGACTGTTAAGATCATGCAGTTATATTTCAGAAATAAAGGCTGTAAATGACACCAGATGTTCCTTCACATTAGCTCTTCCTCCCTTATTTACCCCATCATCATTTGACCATTGATTATGTGTACATTCATTATTTACCCCTTTATCACTCGCACCTTCATAACTTGGCCCTTTATTATTTGCACCTTTATTTGATTACTTATTATGTTTCCCAATTGATTATGTGCACCTTCATTACTTGCCCCTTTATTATGTGCACCTTCTTTATTTGCCCCATTACTATGTGCACCTTCATTACTTGCCCCTTTATAAAGTTTATTATGTGCACCTTCTTTATTTGCCCCTTTATCATGTGCACCTTCATTACTTGCCCTTTTATTATGTGCACCTTCTTTATTTGCCCCTTCATTATGTGTACCTTCATTACTTGCCCTTTTATTAAGTGCACCTTTTTTCCCCTTCATTATGTGTACCTTCTTTACAAGCCCCTTTATTATGTCAACCTTTTTTAATTGCCCCTTTAACATGTGCTACTTCATTACTTGCCCTTTTATTATGTGCACCTTCTTTATTTGCCCCTTCATTATGTGAACCTTCATTACTAGCCCCTTTATTATGTACACCTTCTTTATTTGCTCCTTTATTATCTATTATGTGTACCTTCATTACTAGCCCCTTTATTATGTGCACCTTCTTTATTTGCCCCTTTATCATGTGTACCTTAATTACTTGCCCCTTTATTATGTGCACCTTTATTTTCCCCTTCATTATGTGCACCTTCATTACTTGCCCCTTTATTATGTATGGGCCCCTGCTTTATTTGCCTATTTATCAACCACACCTTAATTTATTGCCTATTTATATTTTTGTCCTTTCATTATATGCACCCCTATTACTTGCACCAACATTTTTTGCACATTTGTTATTTGGAACTTCATTATTTCAGACACTGGTAAAAACCTGTGAACAATTACAAATTTTATATCAATAATAATGTATGTAACATTTAATAATTTTAAATATAAATTTAAACATCCTTTTAGAAAACTTTTACCAAAATAAAAGGGATCGAAAGGCCCAATATGAAATAACATAAGTGAATCATCTAGATATAACAATATATCCACTATATACTTTATATGCATGTATGAGCTATGGATAGATGGAAATCCTTTCAGAAAAAAATTTGGTAATTTTTAATATAATTGTGTACAGTATCTACAAACATAAATTGCTTACTTGGAAAAGAAGGTAAACCAGGGCTAACTCATACAGATAACTAAGACACAAAATAAGTCTCCAAAATGCTGAAATGATAAAACAATAACAAATAATAATGTGAGAAGAATGTATCTTTCCAGAGCATTTTCTTTTTTTTTATTGTTTTATCTTGATTTGTTCAACCCATTTAAAGCACTGACAAGTCGGGTTTTTTTTTACATTATTTTTCTTTTCTTTTTTTTTTTGTAAATGAGATATCATTTTATTTTCTAAATGAATATCTTATCTTTTATATAAATGTACTGTTTTAAATAAATATTTTTTTAAAAACCTGCAATGTTGAAATATTTTCTAAAAATGTAATGAAAATGCTCTGGTTTCTAACATGACAAAAGAACTAATAAATATATATTTGAAAGGTCATGCTGTGACCTAAGGTCAAATCAACAACAAGAATCATTGTGACACAAATGGAAGCTCCCAACCCCATTTTCAGAAGTCTAAAAATATCTTTCAATAATACATGGATCTAAAAATGTGTCACTGGACACAAATGCCCCCCCCCCACTCCACTGTTTGGTCAGTTGACTGACTGAAAGCATGACACACAGACAAGGGCAATTATATATCCCTCACCACCAGACCAAATGAGGAATAAATATCAATTCAGAACCACAATGACCTTAACCCTATGAACTTCTTCCACCCCATCAACAAGAAATGACCATAAAAGATAACTACATACCAGATAATTAATTATTATGTTAAAGGATAGTCAATAAATGAAAGCCCTTAAAGCGTTGAATGTTTACAGAACATGTACAAGTGTGGTGGGAGGAGTAAGGACAAATTCACAACTATATGCTACGCCTTAATCCCTAGAAATTATCATTCTGGGAGCATCAACTCCTAACCTGCTGGTGATAACAGATTCTACCCATCCATCCAGTGTAGGCCAGCATATCTGTACCATTTGATAATGGTCCGCATAGTACACTATTCAGTTAATACAGATTTTGTAATTTTCCCTAAAATCGATGAATGCTTTTAAGTGTGGTAAGGTAATATTTATAATGAAAATCAGACAAGGTAATGAAGACGAATTAAATGCATCATATTGTAACAGTTTGCAGTAAACAGGGTACATGTATGTCCCAATACCTTCAAACTTCAATCAAGCTGGGAAAAAAATTGAGAAGAGAGGAAACTATAGTAAGAAAATCTCTGAGAGCTTATCAATACAAATCTACCTGTGAATAAATCAATAATCAATCAACCTATAAAGATAATTATTCATTTATTTATTCAGAACTACTTTCCCGACAATCAATCCCAAAATCTTTTCAAAGCCAGTGAAAAGTTTTGTTATATTATAACTTATAAGTACATTTATTACAATAATATTAATTAGCTTTTCGGTGGTTTATAGAAATATATCAGTGATTTAAAACTGGTAATTTCACTGTTTGAAACAGTGAAATTACCACTTTGATAATTTCACTGTTTTGAATTTAAGCCCCTTACGTTGTTTCAGTGAAATACCAGCGTGCACAGTACTGGGTACCAACTTAATGACGTGACGTCGTAAATGACGTCACGTTGTATTATTATTTGGCGCGCTTTTATTCAGTATTAGGTTTATTTCTTTTTAAAACGTTTCTTTGCATATAATAAAAAGAAAATTTGTTTAGTTTAGTGTAAGATCGAAATATATTTCACCTTGTGAACACCAAAAGTTCAAATTTCACTCGTGGCTGCGCCACTCGTGAAATATACCTTTTGGTGCTCACTCGGTGAAATATATTTCGATCTTACACTGAACTAAACAAATATCCTCTATGTATTAACAAGTGCTTTAAAAAAAACGAATGTGATTGCAGAAGTATTTCTAACAAGTGATGTAAACTTTAAAATTATTTGTAATTTCAAAAACTTGCATAAAATAAAGAAATATTTACATAACCTACCAAACTTATATCTTAAAAAAATAATATAAGCTGCGTCATGACAAAACCAACATAGTGCGTTTGCGACCAGTATGGATCCAGACCAGCCTGCGCATTCGCGCAGTCTGATCAGGATCCATGCTGTGTGCTTACCAACCCTATTACAAGTAGAGAAACTGATAGCAAACAGCATGGATCCTGATCAGACTGCGCAGATGCGCAGGCTGGTCTGAATCCATGCTGGTCACAAACGCACAATGCTGGTTTTGTCGTGACGCGGCTCATATGTTATATAAAATTTACATAAAAAATAAAGTATGATGAAGTGTTTATAAGAAATATAACCTGGATGAGGTCTTCTGAACACGCCATCTGGTGTCTGAGTAACTCCGAATAAAAGAAAGGCTAAGGCCATGGCTGTAACACCTCTGTTGTAAAAGAAATTCACGAAATAAATATAAAGAAGCAGTTTTAATAATATGAACAGTTCTAATGAATATATGAAAGCAGGAAGTTTCTTGGCTATGCTACTGACGACCAATTCCTCTGACTGCTTCATGAAAAATTCACAGAAAAAGAAAACAGAAAAGGTATTTCTATGCTTTGATTTGATTTGTGTAATTATAACAACCAAACTAAAATAAATTCTGTATAGACTAGAATTCAATTTGAGGTACCAGGCAATATTAAACTAAGGAAGTTGTACAAAACTACATTATTATCATATTTGTTGTAATATAGTTATAAATTGTTAGCATACCTTTTAACATTATAATCATGGTCAGAAGATTGTTCTTCAAACACAGCTACATATACCAGAATGCAACTGAATATTAGCAAAACTGTCAATGTGTGAGCCTTCCTGCAAATTATACATAGAAAGGTATATAGAGAAAGTTTTCACTTTTACAATTTAGTTTTACTTGTAAAGTACACAAATTTAAGAGAGTTTAAGATAAGCAATTAGCAAGATTTCAAGCTTAGAATACAGTCTTATTTGAATGTTTGCAGTCAAAAAGTATATACTTGTACATTGTACCATTTGAAAGGCTAAAAAAATGCTTGCATATTTTCATTTCCATGCAAACAAGAATAAACTCAAACCATTAAAACTACATACATCAATTTCCACTTTTAGTAGACAATGTCTAGTGACTTAACAAATTATTTTAATAAGAACACTTTTTTCTTTCTTTCTTGAATGCAAACAATTTACATACTAGAATATATAAGATTTTTTCCATTTTTTTTAGTAGTAAACTTACCAAAATAATTAAGAACACTAATTCTTTTTTTTTTTCTAACTCAAAGTTTGTTAACTTACCAAAAGAATGTCACAGTTCCATCATCTTTGATATCTTTATATTTATTTTTCTCTTCCTCCCAGTCATGTGCCGTTGTAGAGTGGAGGCGATGGTAAATCTTTTTATTTTTCGGTTCCCCCGGCATCTTTTACTTTCACCATTAACCTTAATGAGTCTGAAACAAACAAACAGATTATCATTATAACCATATTTCTACTAATTGATGTGACCTTCATCTTTTTTTTGTGTGTGGGAAAAACAATTCTGTGATGTTTCAAACTAAGTATTTCAGTAACTGTATCTTGGAAAAGTGCATCATATCACTGCTAAACCTTCCTCAACACTCGAGCCTAAGCATCCTGTGAGCTATTTACATGTATAACACCAGAGTGACGTTCGTTATTACAAATAGAAGATTGAAACAAATCATCTGCTTTACTATTATTTACATAAAAGAAAGTGGATCCGTAGATTTGAGGTATCGAGGGATGAGGTAAATTTTTTATCGAGGGATTTTCATATTGTTTATGAAATGATGACGGCAAATTTCATTTTCCACTTAAATTCTATTGATTTGACAATTTATATGAAACAATTTATCTGAAAATAACATATTTAACCTTAAGAAGAGCTAAAGGTGGCTAAATTAAAACTCCTGCTGTATTAGACACCTTACAATATCTATAAACAGAGCCCTCAGCAATTCTTTTCTTTTCTAAAAATCACGAACGAAGATGCAGGAACTGGAATGTCATTAAATGTTTTCTGAGACAGTCCTTTGCATTTGAGTCAGTGTTTCTGGCTTACAGCTGCCTCACAATGACAACGCTCAAATAATACTTGTTCATGTAACCTTCAAACTTAAAAAAATGAAAAAATAGATAAAATGTTTCATTGTGTTTTGACAAATTGTTAACAGAAGATAAATCGTACAATTCCTCAAATTTCCCAGAAATTTGACCCCAGAAATGTTTAGATTTAAATTTAAATCCTTGTAACTCTAAAAGACATGTAATCAGTTCAAGTGAATACCTCCAGTAGTTTTGAAGACTGATGTGGCATACAAAACTGATATTAAGAATTTTCATAGTTCAAAATGATCCATAAATCTGTCAAATTCAATGCCAGAGTTATAGCCATAATAGGCCTTCCATTATTAAATCTCAAAGATATATGTGAAGTTACAAGCAAAGCAAATATCTTTACTGATTGATTAGATACATGTATGAAGTTGTAACAGAAGGTGCATGCAAAATGTTAATCAAAGAGTTACACAAATGCCCTGGTCAGAAGCATAGCCACACAATTCGTTAAACAGTGGAGTTAAAAACTTAATAAACTATACTGTACATGACATTGCCAATTATTATTTTTGTAAAGTTAAGAGTGTTACTTATTTATGATCTTTTGTGTAATATGTCACCTGTATATCCAATTTCAAATAAATTCTCACAATATAAATATTCCATTTGCAACCAACACACCACAAATTTTATGTATAGCACAAAAAGCAGACAAAATGAATATTGTAAATAGCTCCAGACTTATACAATAAATCTAATTTGGACAAACCACTCAAATAAATGGTATTACACTTAACATCATAATGTAATGAGACTAACCTAATATCTATTAATGAACAACTTATTAATATATAATGTACCAACTTATCAATATATAATGTAATAAATATATACATATACGCCACACAAACAAAAAAGATTCACTCAAAATGAATAGGGTTCATTGACTGGCCAGAACAAATCACTGCCTATAAAGTATGCTGGACTAGACATCATCAATTTGCCTAATAAATCTACTGAATCAATTAACCTCGCAAAATATGTATTACAATTGGCTTTTAAGGTACATCATGTTTATATGATATAAATATAATACTGACTTAAAAAGTGTATAAAGCTATATACATTAAAAAAAGTATTGTTGAATTATAAAAAAGAATGCAATACCAAAATGCTTGTATGAAAGAAATATAGTAGACGTATATTGCCTCAAAAATCTTGTATGCAATAAATCATAGCTATTAAATGGTAAAAACGCTACTTAAAATAGCTGCATAATATTTTGTTCTGTTTAGGTATGATATTTATGCGTGACATTTTATGTCAGAATTATTTCAAGAATAAACCTTAAGATTATTGAAGCAATATAATTTTTACTGTTGATAAATTTTATAAAAATATTTCATAAGATCATTACTGGAAAATTAAGACCCACGGTGCTCTTCAACGCAATAATACCAGCACAAGTTGCCAACTGAGTTAATCCATAAACATTTTTTAAGTTAGCCAGCTAACTCAGCCATACAAAAAATTCATCACCATCAATAGGATTTGAAACCTCAGCTCCCAGAGGGCAAGTTATAGGAAGTATGTAACCCTAACATTTAATCAGCAATACAGTCTTATTTCAATAACTTTACATTTTGAACTGTTCATATATAATAATTTTTTATAGTAAACATTTATATGAGATCTGGTTAAACTGCACATATTCCGTATAAAATAGAGTTGAGATACCTCAGTAGCTCAGTCATCCACTGTTAGAAACCCAGTAATCAAGTGACTGACTGACTGTCTGTGACTGTGACTGAATTAATTAATTAATTAATTAATTAATTAATTAATTAATTAATTAATTAATTAATTAACAAGGAACATCGCAATGCGATGCAACCAGGTTTTCAGCAAAATATTTCACAGAAGCTTTGTCATGAAGGGGCATTTGTTTTTAATTGAACTTTTAGGAGGAATTATGGCTTTTTTAATATTCCTCAAACAAAAATGATTGAGAAATTTTATGTTGTCTATTCGCCTTTTTTCCCCAAATGTTTTAGAAAGGTAAACAGTACTTTATTTTTGCTTAATTTTTGCATTTTTGCGTCTCTTGTCATTTTCTTTTGTCAACAATATTGGCGTGTGGTGTTTTGTGCGATATCAAGAAAAGTATGTTCACAATTTTAAAAAAAATACTTGAATCATGTCTTGGAAAAAACATGGGAATTTAGTGAGCGCCAGGGCACTTGATGACAAAGCTTCTGTGCAAGTTTGGTCAAAATCCATTGAGAAATGTAGGAGAAGTTGCGCACTGTAGAAATTGTTCACTATATATTCTGTATAAGGAAAACATATACAAAGGGCCATAATTCGGTCAAATATTATCCAATCACAAAACCCCGACAATATGTGCCAGGCACTTGAAAACAAAGCTTCTAAGAAAGTTTGGTCAAAATCCGTTGAGAAATGTAGGAGGAGTTGAGCACAGAAGAAATTGTTCTCTATATATTCTGTATAAGGAAAAAATATACAAAGGGCCATAATTCGTTCAAATATTATCCAATCACAAAACCTCGACAATATGTGCCAGGCACTTGAAAACAAAGCTTCTAAGAAAGTTTGGTCAAAATCCGTTGAGAAATGTAGGAGGAGTTGAGCACAGAAGAAATTGTTCTCTATATATTCTGTATAAGGAAAAAATATACAAAGGGCCATAATTCGGTCAAATATTTTCCAATCACAAAACCCCGACAATATGTGCCAGGCACTTGATAACAAAGCTTCTAAGAAAGTTTGGTCAAAATCCGTTGTGAAATGTAGGAGGAGTTGCGCACAGAAGAAATTGTTCACTATATATTCTATATAAGGAAAAAAAACAAAGGGCCATAATTAGGTCAAATATATACCAATTGCAAACCCTGGCAATATGTGTCAGGGCACTTGATGACAAAGCTTCTGAGAAAGTTTGGTCAAAATCCGTTGAGAAATGTAGGAGGAGTTGCGCACAGAAGAAATTGTTCACTATATATTTTATATAAGGGAAAAAAACAAAGGCCATAATTAGGTCAAATATTATCTAATCGCAAAACCCCGACAATATGCGCCAGGGCACTTGATGACAAAGCTTCTATGAAAGTTTGGTCAAAATCCGTTGAGAAATGTAGGAGGAGTTGCGCACAGAAACTATATATTCTATATAAGGAAAAAAAACAAAGGGCCATAATTAGGTCAAATATATACAATTGCAAAACCCTGGCAATATGTGTCAGGGCACTTGATGACAAAGCTTCTGAGAAAGTTTGGTCAAAATCCGTTGAGAAATGTAGGAGGAGTTGCGCACAGAAGAAATTGTTCACTATATATTTTATATAAGAAAAAAAAAACAAAGGGCCATAATTAGGTCAAATATTATCTAATCGCAAAACCCGACAATATGCGCCAGGGCACTTGATGACAAAGCTTCTGTGAAAGTTTGGTCAAAATCCGTTGAGAAATGTAGGAGGAGTTGCGCACAGAAGAAATTGTTTACGCCCGCCGCCCGCCCGTCCGCCCGCCCGCCCGCCCGACGACATACCTCAATCTAATAACCAGTTTTTTCCTTCGGAAAACCTGGTTAATTAATTAATTCAAATATCTACATTTATTTATCAAGAAAATAACTTTTTAAGATCAGTAACAAGAGGTCAAATTTGAAATAAAACAAAGATTTGCTAATATCCAGACCTGATGTCCTACTTTTTCACCTTTAACTATCTAATATCACACTGACACTAAATATTTCATACAGACAACTGATGTATTCAGCTTTGAATTTCTGTTGTTTATGAGTAAATTTAGATGCGCAAAGAGAGAATGTTACTCAATTTAATTTCCCAGTTGAATGGATAATCGAATAAATGTTACAAATATCATTTAACAGTCTTTTGTGTAAAATTGTTAAAAACATAAAAACAAATAATCTAGGGTTTTCTTTCCATAATGTTGTAGGGTAAATCCCGGTAAATACGGACAATTCGGTAAATACGGAATACATTAAATTTTGCTCTTCCCTCTTTGACAATTTTCATTATATATTTATATTATTTCATTATCCCAATCATTCCTTCTTTTTCAGGATGCCTGTAAAAACAAAAGTATGAGATATGATCAAACGTCACTAGAAAACGCCGTTAGAGCTGTTGAAGCCGGGATGTCGGTACAAAACAGGCATTGTTAGAGAAAAAATGTCAAAAAGAACAAGAGGGCCATGATGGCCCTGAGGTCGCTCATCTGTATATTGGCCTCCCCCCCCCCCCCTGGCAGGGCCAATTTTAACCTGAGGGATTTTATTTGAACAAACTTGGTAGACACCCATAAGAAGATGTTTCATGCTAAACAT